TTTCATTGTAGGAGGCACAGTTGTGATGCTTAATAAACCTTACAGGTGAATAAAATGGGACCCTGGAAATGAAATCTCAACTCCCGCCACCTGCACCGGAGAATTCCGGCAGTAAAGACAAAGACTTCTGCCATGTCGACCTCTACAAAAAAGAAATGGACGAAGCACCGTTGCGATGTTTTCATGCAATACAGATTCGTTAACTGTTCCGATACAAAAGAAGACCCAAAGCCCCAGTGTGTTGCTTGCACCAGGCTGTGTGAAAACAAGAGTTGCAGCCCCACAAAACTGAAAAGTTATTCAGAAACAAAACCAGCAACATTGTGGATAAGCCTCTTGAATACTTTTGATGGCAGCGCCCTGACCTAATGTTATCAGCTCAAGTTCTTAGCTGGTCAACTACTTTGAATGATAAGGCATATCTGACTGCAAACCGTGTGGCAAAAAAAAATGGCCAACAGATGCCGAAAAACCTGTTTTTCCGGCATCTCAAAATTCAGCATGTACACTTTTCATCAGGAAGATGGACATCTCCAAAGTATCCTTCTCATTGAAACACAATAGTGAAGAGGATTTCAAAATCTATTATTTGGCCACTGTCGGTTAGGGATTTTGCAAACGCTTTTCGAGAGTACCAATGCGTCAAGTTATGCAACAATTTAGGAGACATACGTCAAAGTCTTATGAAGAATTTTTAGGTCGTATCTAACATACGACAAAAACACAGATTAACAGCAATTCCTTGCATTTATCACATGTTTTACCTACAAGGGAACCCGCTTCATACAGACCTGAAGAGCAACACCCAAGGGGGGTGTGATGCAGTCATTATGCGCTGGTGGTCCCATTACACTGCAGAACAGATGGAGAAAGGGGAAACTCCTTCACCAATTTAATTAAGGGGTAACTTCAGGGAGTGGAATTTAGCCAGGACACTGAGCTTAACACTCCTATTCTTACAAACAGTGTCATGGGATATTTATTTAAAGACCACATAGTCAGGACCTGAGTTCAGCATCTCATATGAAAAATGGCACATCCCAGATCACAGTGAACCACGTCTGCAGGGTGATGGTTTGGAAATTCTGGTATACAAAAGCACCACCTACTGGTCCACCAACCCCGCTTACAGCACCAGCCTCGTTTTCCTTAAGCGACCTCTTATCCCACTAACTAGGCCCAGCCTTGCTTAGCTCCTGTGATCAGACTAGAAGCTGCAAATACTGATGTCTTAAAGTGAAGCTCTTAATGAATTTGTAGGTGGAAAATGAATTACACTACCTAATAAATACAAAGGAATTACAAGTGATGGTGTAGCAAAAAACGACAGATAGAAACATTCTAGTTTCAACAAAAATATCAAAAGTACCTGACAGTGTTGTTTGGAAACAACGTCATGATTAAATCAAAGCTTTTGCATCCAATGGTATTCCAAGATCTAACAGCCATACTGAAGGAAGTAGTTAGAATTGTGAATTTCATTAAAGTTAGCTCACCGAACAGCAGAATTTTTGAAGTGATTTCTTCAGAAACAGGTACAAGAATAACTATTTAATAATTCACATTTAAGCCCCCTGTCCTGTGACAGCCCTGGTATTTACCAGTGTGTTTCAGTTCAGGAAAAGATTTGCGCTGTTCTAGAAAATAATCAAATTTGGCAAATCTGAAAAATGACAGCTGGTTAATAAAGTTGTCATATTTAGCTGACATTTTCTCAATTTTAAACAAACTGAAAATGAACTTACAGGAAAGAGGCGACAATTTGCTTCAACACACTGAACAGATACAAGCATTCCTGAAGTCTCTGGCACTGTGGCACACATCATCGAAAAGTATTTGCCCAGGTTATTACAGATAACCAATACTGTGAGATTACACAGAGAAATGGTAATTATTTACTACCTGTCTCAAGAATTTGGTAGCTACTTCCAGAAGATGAGGATTGACAATTTGAAGAAAAAGTGCAAAAGATCCTTCCTCTTTCATCAATCCCTAATCTATACATTACGCCTAACTAAGAGAAGAAGCTACTGCAACTAACCTGTGAAAGCACACTGAAAATGTGCCACAAGCCATTAAATTTGTCATATTTTTGAGTCAACGTCTTCAAAGAATATCAACTGTTGAGTATGATACTGTAAGTGTTCAGTTGTTGCTGCCATTCACAACAACCTTAATGTGCGAAAAGCGATTTTCAACTTTGATAAGGTTAAAAACAAAAACGAAAAACCCCACTCAACAGCACACTTGAAAGGTGGGAAACCCTTTTATCTTATGATCCTGATAGGAGTAAGGCCCATCACACAGGCCTGCCTAACCTTTTTTAGGTGAAATTCAACCCGATTATTTTTATAAAGCTCTTGAAAACACCTTACGTTCGCAATGATGTTTTGTTTTCATTTTGTATGCGAGTCGACTTGACACGGCACAAACTGCTCTATCGTTACTTTATGAAAACTAAAAGTTCTCAGATGTTGTTCTGGGGTCACAGCGACAAACGTTTTTTCTTTCCCTGGGTTCTGCGAAAAGTTTCAAAAACTGTGCTTTGTCACACCCTCCTTTCCTTCAGAATGGAAACCGGATTCGGGCAAAATTTAAACTGGTTAGTTGTCTCGGACGGAGGATTATGCCAACGGAAATGGGCATCCCAACCTGGCAGGGGCTATGCCAGTCAACTGAGATTAACTCAAGCGCACATATGAGGCCTATCAAAACTGAATGCTACTAAGTGCCCACATCTTGGGACTCGAAGAGGGATGCCAGACAGGTCAAGGATTATGGGTTTAAACGCAGCAGTTTTGAAGTATCACTATGGAGCAACACCATAAAGTCTTACGCCTGCTGACACTTTGATAGTCTTACACATGAAATTTCAGAAGAAAAAGATGTCTGTGAAAAAAGCTTGCGAGTATCTTATGGCATGTACTGATGAGATCACCCTGTAGGCTTAATTTATACAGCATACTGTATTAAAGTTAAAGTTTTTAAATTTTAATGCTGGTACCCTTAAAATAACAGAACACGGATAAAAAAAAACTGATGTCATTTTAATTGGGCACCTTTCTAACCCTAGAGGTCAATATGATGCACAAAATGCATTTTGGAAATTTCTCCAAGCTCTCTACAAGAGGAAACAGACGAAAAGTGGCTTACAGAGAACTAACTCAAATGCAGTGAAGAACTCTTTACAATTCTGCATAAACAAGACCTGAATACTGTCAGAGCCACTAAACATTAAGCCCCTGCAAAAGCTACTGGTTGAACCCTAAGAACACAGGACATTTTAGCTCCATGCAGTTCGTGGCTGTAGTAGGTCCACCTGAGCCTAACTCTCTAAAATGACCAAATTAAAAAGAATCATCATGCTTTGCAGCAACTTGACACTTTTGGACTGGCCAGCACAATATAATGCAAGACCCCACTGATATGTGCGATGAGATCAGATCCTGTCGGTTTAAAACTTTTCTTCATAAGGGCACACACACACACACAAAAAAACAGCTTTTAAACTGAGGAAACTGTATTAAAGTATATATTGATCTATAACTTAGCTCCTAACTCATAACTACTTCACATTCCTGTCTCTCCTTTTCAAGCACAACCAAGGCAGGAGACAGATATCAAGTTAATTACACCACCTACAGAAAAAAAATAGCAAACTTTACATAGGAGCCTATACTGTAAAGCTGAAAAAAAAAACTAATTTAACATAAGAACTGGTTTATTAATATGGAATTTTTCATAACATGCAGGTACCTTATCGATCTTAAGCTCCTCAACAGAACATATTTTGGGTCAGGGAGACTAATTGCAAATTACATAAGAACTTGTATCCGAGATCTTTTTGCTTCAAGCACGACGGGTTGATTAAGGACGGAGGTAAACCTCGTTACCATATCACCTTAAAACCTCAAGGGCATCTTCAATTGCCCATAATACATAGAGCATTGCCAAGCAGTCTGCACGTCCCTCTCTGGGGATGACTTGCTTATATAGAAAACACAGAAACACAATTAAGCACTAATTTGAAACTCACACTAGGTAAACTAATTAGATCTGGACACTCAAAACTGCTCGGAATAGTAAGCCTAGACACATATAAACTCCACCCCAATAACTTGGTTATCTAGAACGTTTCCCCACCATTTTAGCCAACGCTAGGCATTATTTTAAAAGTAGTGTTTGTTCAACCAGAGACTCCATCAACTGTGGTTACGTACTGTAATTACCTGCATCCAGACAAATAACTACGCTCAAGGCACCCGATTGCACAGACTGCATAACACCATCATGGAACATTTGTGCATTTAAATTAAAAATAAATTCACCGAGCAATGCAGTTCTGTGCGCAGCCCCCAAAAAAGACGTGTCTCCGTGCACCCGCACACCACCATCATACTATGTATTGTGTATATGACACAGTTTACTTACTGCAATAAAAATGTGTCATCCCAGACTTGATACCAAAAAAGGCGAAGGAAGTTGCTACCCTTAGTTACGTTATTAAACTCGGATACCTGGCATTCTGCACACTGATCAATCTCGCCAAACTCTTCTTCTCGAAACAAAATCCATGGGTCCTCCATGATGTCAAAAGACCCGACCCTTTTTATTATCAGACATCTTAGCAAATAAAAAAAAAAGAGGAGGCACTTTTTTTTTTATTTTCCCATTGCTTTTCAAAACGGAAGCCGCTAAAAAAAAACACAAAACTGTGAGCGATTTCAATACCGTCTAGCTGAGAGTCGTCAGCTAATGCACCCAAAGTGTAAATAAATGTAGCTGTTCTTTTTTTCTCCGTATGGCCTCTTGAGATTTTTTCTTGATACTCCATATCAAGCAGACACCTATTGACTGGCTGCACTGTACAGTACCTAACCCACGGCCTCAGCGTAACCCGCTTGGGACTCATATTTCCAGACGGCTCGTCGCCCGCATAACAAAAACACTTAGCCATTTCTAAAGAAGATACTTCTAAGATTAATATAGTTTTAGATTACCTTCCTTGGTTTTCACAGGTGCCGTGATATGTTGCTGAGAAAGCAAGCCCGGTGTTGGGGACGTGGAGAGCCGGGACCAAGATGGCGTCCCCTCCAAACTTCCACCACTTCCACTGTTACTTTGGACACTCATCAAGCTACTTTTTGGAACGAGAAAGCAAACAAACACAGGCGTCAATCGCAGTGAAACCTCGTGATTTCTGTAACCTGCAAGCCTCTGGCATCAATCAATCATCTCGTATGATCCGGCCCAAATTGTAAAATTTAACATTTTTTAAACACAAACCTCCCTATACCTCTGCAGTGCGTCTTGAAGTAGCCTGTGTGTGTAACCTTTGCATTAGGCGTCACGCATCGCTTGTGCAAACACTATCGCGAGGCTCGTACACCTCAGGCAAAAAATTCTACTGATGGAAACGGCAAAACAAAGAGGCCATCCCAAATTGTATGAAATACTTCCCAAGTCGCACGCTCTTCATCAGAGGCTTTGAATGCATTAATATTTTCATTTCTCATTCATAAAAAAAAAATGTGTAAACTGCAGGGTAACTGTGATCCGTGCTACCTGTGCATTCCTCCCAAATTTTATAGGGGACATTTTATTTCATCACCGCATGAGGATTAAAATATGCAGACACTATTATCATATTAATAAAAATAAAGACAGTTCCCTGGCGCTATTTCAATTTCCTGATGCACTAAGATGCCATTTCCAATTCCTTATCGGTAACGTAGAATAACGTAAGAACTTTGTTTGAAAAAAAATCTCATATCGCGAAATAAAAACTTTAATGTACATACACACGAACATAGTTTTCGCCTTCCCACAATTCATTATGGTGGTTTTAAGTGACGTAGGTTTAACCCTTTGCGGCGGACTTGCTAGTTGTTCAAGCTGTCAATCAAACCGCGATCACTAATTACGATAATTAGGATGTGTTTGTGGCGTTTATGTAATAGAATAGTTTAATATGAAAATTAGCTGATAATTAAGCATAAAGTAAATCTAATAAAAATCCTAAAATATTGCAAAAATAAATTGATATATAAGTAATTGATATTACTTAATACGACATTAATCGTATTAAGTAACTATATCAATGTATTGATATAACAATTCTTTATAAACTGGGATAAGTGAAAATATTGTTTGAAGTGGTATTTATCACTTTTAAATATTGTGACCTTTGATAAGTGAAAAGAAATTTGGTTAAATGAATGTACTATTTTGGGTTGCCTATATACTCTCCTCTCAACTGTAAAAACGTTTCACACAACATTAAAGCACCTACTGTACTTCGTGAACATCGTGCAGTGAAGAAAAAGATGATTTGCACCTTTGAGGTCCTAAGAAGGGTCAATCATTTTAGTTCAATGTTGTTTTGTTGTTGTTGGGGGGTCGGCATCGGTATTGTTAAAAAATAAATTTTAAAAGGTCAATGAAAAATTAATTTAAAGGTGTATATTAATAAAATGGAAGTATAAGAAGCATATTAATAGCATAATATTTGCTGTAGAGTGGAAAAATATAAAGCATGACAATGTATTGGCGTTTAAATACGACAAAGCAAAAAAAGTGTAGACAGCAACCAGGAATTATTTTGCAGTTCCATTTGCCGATTAGGTCAACCATTAACTGGGTATTTTAGGTTGAAGGTCATATTGCACTTTTTGTATTTGTCTCCATTGATTGATCATGAAGAATTGATTTTGGATTACATGTAATGGTAAGATTGTTGTTGCAGCAGTTTATGAGTGTGAGTCTCTTATGGAGAGTTCTCAATTAGAAACTGGGAAACAAACATCTGGATTTTTATGTAATAAAATAAAGCAAGTAACATTGTATTGTATTAGCTGTTGGTTTATACCGAAGATAATTTTCAGATGCAAAATTAGAAACAACCAGGTTCACGTTATTTTTGTGCATTATTCACATTCAGCACACTTTTAAATGTCCATAGTTTCCTCAGGAGCTGGAACATTCGGTTTTACTGTATATGTTTTTTGTCCATCCAAGAGCCATGCATTTCAGAGAAGGAAAATTATTAAATTATTAAGGTAGTTCCTTAGAGTAACCGTTCGTTTTCACACATTTTCCACTTTTTATGTAATTACATTCACTTAATGCTGGGAAAAAAAAATCAATAACAGGCTTAGAAAAGGGTAGTTTGTTACAGATTTTAAATAATTTAAATATAGCATACACCTATAAATCAGAAGAGTTTAAGAATTCTATTTTATTATATATATGCAATACATTTATTTTTCAAATATATGTATGGAATTTAGAATTTTTTTAAGTAGATCAACAAAATATTTGTTTTCAAATCAGTAGACCGTGTGGTAGCAGTGTAATGGAGACAAAAGATTGTTGTTGTTTTTCCCAGTGGTCTTTTAGAAAAATAAAATATCTACTCCTAACAACAAAGACATAACAGAGTCCCTAAAATAAGAACCCGACTGGGGTCAAACAGCATTAAAACACAGGGGTTAATAATTTCCTGTTGCATCTCCCAATCTGATCTTTTAGATGGTAAAGGCATAGAGAATGTTCTCAGCCAGTGATGGCTCACTTGTTGTTCTATGCACTTGCTATGCACAGATGGCTGTTCAGAGTTCATTGAAATGACTGTGATGCCTCCTCTCAGTAGAAACATCCCGGCCTTCTTTTTCACACACCAAGCTAAGCTTCCCTTTTCAACACACAGCCCAGACCAGCAAATCCTTTGGCACAAGCCTTTGTCTCACAATAGCATGCTTCAGAACTGATTCAGTGCATTATACCACCCCAGAAAAGCAAGTCATGTGGGTCAATAGTAGGCATTTAAAAATTCAATTAGGAAGCAATCAAAATAATTATAGAGGCATTTTTAAAATATTTGTTGGAATGCAGCTTTCGTTTTCATTCAGGGCATTTTATTTGTTTTCTTTTTTTACTACTAAAACGAAGGCATATTAATGTGCTACATCCTGGAATTTTCCACTTGCTGTGAATGACTGGTTCAGGATTGAGTATGCATAATTTTTCCTTAGATAAAATTCTAACACCGGTGCACAGCCCAAATGAAACACTGGGCATGGAAATTTACCTCAGATATACTATTTGTTTTGTTCGGGACTCAAATTTACATCTGGTGCTCAAGTCAACATGCAATATGAAAAATTAGTTACTCAAATTTACATCCAACTAGGGAAAATAATCTTAATTCAGGATAAAAAATCTGAACCTGTCTGATTTGACTCATACTAAAAATTCTGATATCTGTTCTTCACATTGTGTAGCTCTGGTAGTTGTCATTTGCTCTTATTGTGGACCTTCCTAATTTGTCTCAGTATTATGACCTGAAACAGACTAATACCTTGAACAGATAAGTGCTTTTGCAATTTGTTGCATTGTGAACTTTCTATTCTTCTTATTGGAACCTGTCCTTGTAAACTGCTTTTAGATTTGTGCACTGCAAAAAGGCATATGCAGGACTTAAGAGATCACTGATAGTGCCCAACACAAGAAAGTTTAAAAATAAGAGGCTATAAGGCACATCTAGACTGTCCAGTGACGTCTTAAAAGAAATCAGCTTCAAATCATGCCTGGGTATCTTATTCCAGTCCATTCTGTGTAAGAAAGTGTCCCCTCAGTAGTAATTGGAATAGTAATTCCTTGGTTCATGTCCTGGTATTGGTCCCTAAAATAGTCTTTTATGTTCAAGATGAAAAAGATTGCATGAAGGGTGAACCTTTAAGTCTGAAATACATGTGGTCCCCATTCTCTGAAATAATTGCAAAGCAGCAATATTTTTTTTTTGCACCATTATGGTAACCACAGCTGTACACAACATTCTAAATGAGGTCAGTATTGACATTTTACACATCTAATGATCTGTTTGGCCTTTTATTGCTTATCCACCTTATTGAAGGAAAATGATGTGTCAATACTTTGCTTTTTCCATAGCTGCCTGTTTCCAATCTCACATTCATACTTTTTTGGTGGATACGAAAAAAAAACTCTTCAATTAGATTGTATTATTATCATCATCAAATGATAGTTCGGGTGGGTAGCTGCGTCAGCATGCGTAGGCTGCAAAGGAACAAGTTTATTCCATGCTGAATAAGGTGTCAGGCTCACATCTGAAGAAGGCTCCACGGCCAAAACGTTGTGTTCTCTTTCTTCTTTTTTTCAGCATGGAATAAACCTATTACTTGTTCCATCATCAAATGATGTATTATTTCCTTAAAACATATAGAGTGATTTGGTAGTCATCCTATGACTTGTACCATTTGCAAAATTGACTAGTTCACAAATGTCCAAAATGTAGGACAACTGATATACTGTAAGTTCAAAAGAACAGTGGTCTGAATACAGATCCTTGTGATACCCAAACAAAATATTAAAAAAAACTTTAATTGAATAAAACTGCTATTTGATTGTAAAGAACTGTACCACTCAAGCATTCATAATCATTTTGTGAATCATGCATTTTTAAGAACCTTCTCAGTATAACATATGAGCCTTTCAAGTCACTGGCTTTCTCTGTAGCTCAGTCTTGTCAAATCTCACAACCTAAGCAAGCTTGGTCCATGTCAGTAATGATACTGGAGACTTCCAAAGAAATCCAGGTTGGTACAGTGAGTGGCCTTGCTGGAATAAGTGGCAATCTTCTCTCTGGACTACAATTTCCAATCTACAGCATGGTGACAAGGGACATAGATCTGTAGGCAGTGTGCTGTCCTTTTGTTGAGAGTTTCAGGAGAGGTCCTGACTACTTCATCTGTTCATAAGACTAGTCATATTAGAATAGGTGTACCCCAGTATATTGGCTAAATTCCACTTCAGGTTTGGACAGTCTTACCTCAGTAAATGTCCCTCTCACTTCAACTGGTGAATTAACATCTCACTGTATCATGACCTCATCTGTTTTCACTTTAATTGTCTTTAAATGGCTATGAAGTTCAAATTTAAACACTCATTAATGATCTTTTGGAAAATGTAAAGTACTTAAAATAACAATGATTACTTACTAATGTGAAAGATAAACATTTGAATAAGTAAAAAATTCCATCACTGATTACAAAAAACTGAGAAGATTAATAAGACTGTCTGTACAGTCTAGATGTACAGTATGTAGTATGTTAGTGCATGTTAGAATCTCTATAAAAAGATGGGAACAATGCCAAGCTACAGAAATGTACTGTACATTAAAAGAATAAGCTGAAACATATACATTCTAAGGTCTACAGAAAGGGTCAACCCAGTTTGACATCTTCAGTAAAAAACCAAGGAAACATGGCAACAAAGGGAATTTATTTAGGATGGAAAATAGGCAACACTTCTTTACATAAAGAGTGATGGTTGTCTGGAACATAAGGTTGAGGACCAGACTGTCGGGTCCTCCAAGAAAGAGATGGACAACATTTTAGTATAGCAGACAGAATGGCATCCATTCTTATATTTGCAGGTTCATTTAAGGCTTTTATGATCATGAATTGCGTATCAAGGGAAACCTTTTGCATTCTTCAGAAAGCTGGCATATTATTTCGATCTGATTCGCTTTTTATTTATGTCTTGTCTCACAGCCAGTAACATATTCCAGGTTTCCAGACGCAAATATAATAAAATCATTTCCTTATGAATAATATCAGTTTTGCACATTCTTCTCTCAAACTATTAGTCTTGATTAAAAGCTCTTTTAAAATGACTGACGCAAGAGAAATAGGAAACATGAGGGTGCAGTGGAAACAGGCCATTGGCAACTCCTGTTCTTTGGACATGCACACTTTATCATGCTTGGATGCCCTGTCAACAGTTTCTGCCACATCTGATTCTGCTTGTTTCGATAAGTGCTTATCACATCCACAGAAATCTGAATGATGCTGTAAGAGACCTGCAGAACTCAATCCGTGCTGATGTCAGCATCTTGCTGTCCAATGCAGGGCTCATAGCCGGTGAGTTGCTTTGTCAAACGTCAGTATCCCATGGCTTCTGATACTTGCTTTGCACCCAAACGCGGCGCATTACCACTCCTTTCTTCCTGTTCACCTGGAGCCTCCTGTCTTCCAGGTTCTGGATTTCTTGTAAACCAGCACTCACAAACAAATGGTGGACTTCATCTGTTGCAGGAGACGAGCACAAAAGCAGCACATTAGCCTTCACCCATTCAAAAGCTCTTGCCACAAGTCAAACCGTCTGTTTGCAAAACATCTGACACACAGGAACAGAACACTCTGTGATCCTTTCTAGTCATGTCTAGTCTGTCATCGTGCAGCTGCGGTCCTACTGAGCTGGTTTTCTATACCACTTAAGCATATTTGAAGTTTTGACAACTTTTTGTTCTTGTTTTTTTTTTTAAAAAAAGAAGCCGCAAACATTTTCCAAACAGTGCAAAAGCATCAACTGTTGTTAAGGTCCATATGCATGTCACCTCTTGTAAAAAAGTAGACACAGGTACCATCTCCTCTGGCATAGAAGTTTTCAGACAGGCAACGGCCTGGGAAATGATCAAGATAGCCGTGTTAGTTCGACTGAGCTGTAAAAATACCACATCACAACATAGACGCAAAAATAACACTGAGATTTAGATGAAAAACCCAATGGGTTAACTACACAGAATAATAACAATAAGATATTTTCCAGTAACCACAACATGTAATAAACCCCCCAAATATATGACATTCATTTTCCAGCATTTTTTCTTCTGAGGGTGTGCATTTTGTGCAAAAATTATAGACTAGAAATAAATTTCTAATATTTGTCATGGAAGTATAATGCATGCCATTAAGACAATGATGTTAAAAAACTGCTTTGGAGCAGCCAATCCTGAAAGTGTGAGGAAAGTGTTTGACTAGTGTTTTTCTTATTGTGTAGAATTATTGTAAAACAATTGGATAAGAGAAAGCTAGAATACACAGTGCCCAATGGGACATTAAAAGACTTGAATGTTATTTAGTGGTACTTCTGGTGATGATTATACTCACAATACAAGCAAGGGATCAACCATTAAAATACAAAGAAAGTAACACTTGACTGTTCCTCTTCTTGTGATGTTGTATGTGCATGCGATAAGGAAAAATATTTTACCAACTGATAAGGCAGAAATGAGAACTCAGGATGGCAGTATCAATAGGCTGTGTTGGTCTGTTGTTAACTGATGTGGGTGGGCGATCCCAGTCTTTGTTTTTTTTTCACACCAGAAAAAAAACAAAACAAAAGCCAATGGATTTTCAAAGTTTTGTTCAGGTCACAATGGCAAAGGTGATGCACGTAAAAGCATGGTGCTTAACTGAAAAGCAGTAATCTTCTAATTTAAACACACTGACAAATTAACTGAGGAACGCAACGAGGAACCACAGGAGCACCTTGCTTAAATCGAAGTTGTGACATATCGTATCTGCCATAATCTCGGAATAAGAACACCCCCCCGGGCTTCAGGAACTGGGTCAATCTCTTTACAACTCCTTGCATTCTGTAAGGAGAAAAAACACACAACTAATTTTGTATTACAGCAGCAATGATCGAGAAAAAAAAAAACAACTTAAAAAATGAAGTGAAGAATATCCTAGTTAAAGCACAAGTACGTAAACAAACAAACCATTTTTTTCAACCATGCATTCAACAGGCTCCCACAGTCCGGTGCTGCTAGCAAATTGTGCAAATGCAGGAAACCTCAGCACACAATAGAAAGATTCACCTTAAAAGTATAGGCACGTTTGCGCAAGACAGCGGCACAATTTCTCAAAGACGACTAGGAAGTCTTCTTTCCTTTGTCTGCACACAATGACATCATTTTGAACTCAACATGAGCAGACACATTTCTAGGTATTATGAGCTGCACCTAAAACACTGCAAGAAGCCTTAAGGTTCCAATCTAGTGGTCAAGGTTTGTCTATTAAGTGCGTACAACATCAATGTGGGTAGCTTTCCTCAGATAACTGATTACAACACATACCCATAATAGGTGGATCATTCCAAGCACATTTCATCGTATTGAAAGTGAACAGTACATAAGAAGACTAATCATAAAAAGAGCAGTCAGACTATTCTGGGTGCACAAATTATGCGATGCTTCCTTCATTTAGAATCAATAAGACATTGCTAAGTAGATATGTACAATGCATTTGACAATGCCATATAATATATACAGTAAGATAAACTTTCTTATGCAACCAATGTATACAAAACAATTGCTTTGTTTACACATTTAGTGCAAAAACTGATACAGTAAATTGAAATTGCTCATTTCTGGCCAGTCCATTTTAAGATCTGTACAAAGAAAAAAAACACATCAAAATAGAATAGCGAAAAATCTATTACTGCCTGCTGTGAGATTTGGCTGGCAGCCAATCCGCACCCTGAATTCTAATCAGCTGATATCTACTACAGGCTCCTGATGTAGTGAAATGTCACTGCTTGTTACAAAGAGCAGCAGACTAAGCTCTTTCAGCAAGAGGCTTTGTTCTCTGACTTCATTTGACTACCAGCTCTTTGAAAACAGTAACACCCACCAGCAATATCTATCAATTCATAAGTAAATAGGCGTACTTTATTTTATGATTCATAATCCGCACGTTAAACTTTTGGTAATCCAGTATTTTGTAAAAACACAACATGCATCATACACTTTGAGCCTCCCTGTGATTGTATACTACTGCTATATTCCTGCCCATTGTCCACATTGAACTCTTTGCCCTGTTTGGGTCTAACGAAAATTATCATCATCTGGAATTAAACATACAGAAATGTCATGCACAACAACAACACGACCATACAGGCATTTCCAAACTTCAGCCAATTTTGTCTCAAAGCACACCCCAAGCATTGCCCCACTGAGCAGCAGAATTTTCTCTCAATTTTGTTCAACGGTTCTTATAATGTTGCATTTAAAAAATAGCATGTGACGATAGAGTGCATGTCTTTCAATGCACATTTTGCACATGACTTGAAAACAAGCAGGCAGTGTTTTAAATCAGAATAATGGAATGGATATATAACTGATGAGAATGCTGGGAGATGCCTGGTGACGAATGAGACTGAATGCTTTTTTCCCTTGCCCTCTGACTTTGACCTACCGCTCAGGGTGAATGGACGACAGCACAAAGACGACAAGAATGATGTCTAAGCTCTTGGGTGGAAATGGGAAGGTGGCGGTTTCATCGCAGACATCATGGACAAAGACGTGACACTGAGCAGGGCAGTATCTTGGGTGAGCCTGCACAGAGAAAACGGCGACCAGCAACATATCAGAAAACTGCACAATGTTCTTTTATCATACCTTATTTTACCGTGCCCAAACTAGAAAAATGATCTCAGGTGAGTAATCCGCAAAGGACAATTAACATGAGACTGTGTTCTATTTCACCATAAACGTAAATGCAGGGATCCAACTCTTACTTAAACCCATTGCTTGTGGTAATATCTTTGTTGCTTTTTGGTTACATAATTACATAGCGCATATGTACTTCAGTAAAAAAAGGTGCATTATTTAACATCAAATCGCACAAAATCAGAGCACAGAAATACTGTACAGTGAACATAGAACGTGCCGAAGGTACTACACAAACCACTTATTTAAATGTCACAGACTCAGTGCTTCCTGAAGACACATAGAACATAAATAAATTATGCTAGAGCCCTGAATAAAAATCCAAAGTTGAATATTTCATATTTTCTATGAAAAATATGTGTTACTCTCCTTTAAGAAACATAAATTGCCACTGCGGTTTTGGGGTAAAAGGTTTGGTATGTTGCTTCCATCTCAATTCAGCTGTTCGGCGAGATTACATCAAAAGCCAAATTCAGTTTGTTGTTGTTTTTTTTAAATGAAAACACTTGCATGCACCTGCAGACAGATAACCTGATTTTAAGTCATAAGTAGTGTTTCTATGGAAACCCTGAGCTATATACCCAGAAAGACATCATCCAAGTCAGTCCTATTCAAAACATAACAGTAAATCACGATGGTAAATCTTCAGTACTGAACATATTAGGCACAAACTGATGGTTGCACTGGCACTTCTTTGGTTCAACGCTGTCAATTTCATATCAGACAGAACCTGAGTAATTGCAATGAGCAGCACAATACTGCTCATTATGTTTACTTCATTTAAAGAGGTAATCTTTGGGGACTATTTAAAATTTACAGTAAGAAACAGGCATTTCTACACTCTGTTAAAACAGGCCATGTTCTAAAAATTAAGTTTAATAAACATCAGCAAATTTAATTTCGTAGCTCCTTCATTTTGCAGTCATTCTCGTTTTGTGGCCACAGAGATCGTTACTGTTAGCCACTACACAAAGGCACAACTGGCGATTCCAAATTGCCTGGTATCGCAATGAAAAAATACTAAAAAAATCTAGATTAAAACACAAATTAACACTTTTTACACTAAACCCTACTTTAGATACCAAAGCTTAATTCACTAAAATATCACATGTATGAACACAAATGGTTTGCAAACTGACAGAGATTAATCTGTGTTTAGTTTCACCTTGCTTCTGTTATGGGCACTCTCCATATAGGACACAAATAGAAAGAATAATTAGGTTACTAACTGCAAGCAGATAAAAAAGGAACTAGTAAATTAAAACACATAAAGCTGAAATTTCTAACAATCACCTACTGTACCCTTTTCCAGTCCATGGGTTCCTACATGGGAGCAAAGCACCACAACAGCTACGTTATGAATTACATACATAGGCTTTCCTAGTAGGACCTCTGATTTTAGCCACATCTTTGTACTAAACTGTCAGTTCTGTGCATGAGCCCTCTGTACCACTGAGACACAGTATATTAATGTGATACACATAATTAAGACCGTTGGCTTGCCTGCTGCTGTCATTTGATCAAAGGGCTGAACTTTCCAGGAGCATCAGATGTCTGTGAGACAAGGAACCAGGGAAGGTGCTGGCATCCATTTTGACAGTCTTAACACGCTTGGTGGCAAAGTGACTCAAGATGGACACATGCAAAATCGGAAATCTGGAGTATAAACCTACATACCGCTATCAAGGAGGTATTAAAATGTACTGTAGATTACACTCTGTGTTGGACTGAGAACTTCAGGGCCTGCGTCGAGCTTTATTAGCTGGGTCCCATTACCTGGTGTTTTAAAGTGTTTGGAGCAGGTTATTCCTGTGTTCAGCTACTTCTGGAGCATGAAAAATCCCATCATATATCTATACACGCCCCCCCGCGCTTCTGATGCAAAAAGAATATTACGTCTTACAATATTACATAAATATTACATCTCTTTTTTTTCCTCCCACAGGCTACGGCAAAAATCTAAAGATTCTTCCGAAGAACTACTTTTTAGAAAATCTTTGCTGCAGTTAATAAGATTGCATGCTAGTTGCACAGCAGTTCAGGGTCCTCCAAAGTAACTAAAGCACGGTGGCCCAGACGTGCAAAACACACAAACAAAAAACGAGAGCACAACCAAAAAAGTGACACAACACAAACAAAAACTAAAATGCAAAGCCTGCACAACACAAAAATGAGTGCACAATCTAAAAAAGAAACAGTGCACAACAAAACGTGTTCAACACAGAAAAAGGTTCTCACAGCTGACATTGTGAGGCTTAACCAACACCAAAGGCTGCACTCATACTGGCATTCTGTCTGAATGATTGTATCTTGAAAATGGCTGCCTGTAAAAGTGTCTCGATAAGCAAGAATAATAAGAATAAGCATGTCTTTATCAAATTACTCTGAACCTTAAAAAGGCTGAAATGTTATTTTGCTTGAACAAAATGAGATATGGGATATTCTAAATTTATGCTAATTTTTTCTACAAATGGTAATGTACTATATTTTGTAACTTTCGATGATACAGACGAATGTACTGACAATTGAGTTAATGTCTGCAATGAGTGTTATGCCTCAATTTAAGGAAGTAATACTTAATGAAAGACGTATTTGTAGGAATAAAGGAAATAAGGCAAGGAGCCCACAAAAAAATGATGTGCATGTAATACAAGTTTACATTCATCATATTTTACACAGCAAAAATATTCTTTAAATGTTTTGTGAACATACTGCTGAGCAAATATCTTAAGACATCTTGTATTGTTCGCAATTAACATATTTCCTTTACACAGAAATGTATGCTAATCTACTGAAATGTTTTATTAGGTGTTAATCCTGACAGATGTGTATCACGCAGTGCAGAAAGTAGCCTTTTACCTTGACAAAGAATTAATTTTGTTCGTTCTTTCCCAATCATTTTAAATTAAGAAACAATTCCAAACTTTGCTTTCATCTGTACTAAACACAGGAGAGTCCAGAAAAGCACAATTTGACATCAACCAGGAGCTTAAATCAACGAGAGAGAGAGAGATAGTGCACATCAGATACTTCAAACATATGATCTAAGCTTCACTCGAAAGCGTAGCCCGGACACGATAAACTAAAGAAACTATAGGTCTTCGACAGGAAAATAGTCATTTCGATTTTATACGCTACTATTACGAGAGATGTTTGACACTGCATCAGCACTTACCTTTACCAGCTTGACAGCATGGGATGAGAAATCACAGCAGTACAGGAATGCTCCTGTGTCTCTAGGAAAAATAAATTAACAAAAGCTCATGGATATAATATACATCTGTGCTGGGCTCAGCAAAGTTTAGAACAGTATTTTACTTCTTATGGAGTTAGATATTAATAGCAGTAATGTCAGTGAGAAGAAAATAAATATTACTTGCTTTATATGTCATTGCTTTGATATTGAGTGGATTTTTTATAAGGAATTAGACATGAAAGACACAATCATGTCTGTGTTTAACAAGAAGGGAGATTTCTGCAGCTATATACTGTACACTAAGATGTTCCCAAAGTATAGCATAATATAACGATAGACGGTTTATCACAACCTCTTTGGAAACTTATTTTTCCAAGAACTATCCTAAGACAAAACGAAGACAAAAATGCTTATTCTGGCATTCAATAAATCATATTGCTTTCCTTGATGTTTTTTCTTTTACCCTTCGCACAATCACGAACATGCAGCAGTGTACCACCATGTAAAAACTGAAGACTGGCAAAGTACTGGCTGTGCTTCACCACACACTATTCTTAAACAGTCCCAACCACTCAGCCACTGCAACCAAAACCCTGTGCTCTCTGCTCATGCACTTAAGACTTAAGTAAGTGGTTCTTCATCTGAGGTTTCGTTCCTATAATTATGTGTGAAGGTCAAGGTTAAAAACTTCCTCTGTGTATGTAAAAAAAAAGGCAAAACCCACTACACATGATTCTGTCCCCTGCCTGGCCAAGATCTCAGGACAAAATGTTCTATGCAGTGACATCAAAGCCTGGCACTGGGTCTCTGCAACTAATCCAAGTTATGTAAAAAGTGAACAAGTCAGCTATTTCATTCACAAAAAAATTAGAGCCAGCACCTTCTTGATAAGCAGGGAGAACAGTCCCATCTCTATTTACGTCATTCACAGAACCCTGCTTCACATTGACACATTGACTGTATCCCCGTGGTAAAAATCAACTGGACAGTGTCAAGCAGTTCTAAAATCACATCTAACAGCACTGGAACTCTAACGGCTTGAACTCGCTTTATTTAAAAAAGGCTCAGTAAAAAAAAAACATTACAAAAAACACCGCCTAGCTTACTTCTAGGGTTTACATTAAAACTGAAGTTCGGGTTCATAGGTGAGCAAAAAGGCTTAAGAAATCATTCCTGTGGTGAACAAAACGTCCAAATATTTCACGTAGTTGAATGTGAAGCACTTGGCTTTTACTCTCTCAGCTGTGGTTTTACAGAAATGTGCTTCTCTGCCTGCAATATTTACTGCGACAGTTCCCGAACGAAAAGTGTTAGTATTAAAATGCTAACACTTAATGTGTCAACTAAAACATAGCCCTTGCCATTACACTGTTTCTTTACTTTCTTGCTGTGAAGTCTTCTTAAACAATGAGGCTAATGCATATGCAATATTATAATCACAGGCACTTCCTACCAAGAGCTGAAAGCTATAAAACTAATAGCCTTAAGGATGGATTATTGGACCTCTGCCAGGCAGCTGTTTCAATTACAAGAAGATTTAACATTAATTAATATTTCATCAGTACATTTTATTAACAGATGCTTTGTAATGCAGCTAATATTGTGTTGTATTTGAGAAAGACCTAAACGTAATTTGAAAATGTTACCTACATAATAAGTGTCAGAGAAATAAAAATGTGCAGAACAATGAAGTACAAATATATTCAAAACAATGCACGAAACCTGCTGTAAGATTAACTGCTAACAGATAATAGTAATTAAACTTTTTTGTCAGAAGCAGTGATACAGATTGGTCTGACTTTTATGTAACTACAGCATTTCTGGATATTTAACATCCATCTAAACACTGTAATTGTATACATAACTCATCAAATAATAAATGATAATAATTGCTTAACCTTATATAGCGCTTTTCTGAACACTCCACTCACTCTTTACAGGTGATGAGGACTCCCCTCCACCACCATGTGCAGCAACAAACCTGGATGATGCGACGGCAGCCAAAGTGCACCAGAACGCTCCCCACACACCAGCTATCAGTGGGGAGGAGAGCAGAGTAATGAAGCCAATTCATAGATGGGGATTATTAGGAAGTCATGATTGGTAAAGGCCAATGGGAAATTTGGCCAGGACACCGGGGTTACACCCCTACTCTTTTCGAGGAACGCCCTGGGATTTTTAATGACCACAGAGTCAGGACCTCGGTTTTATGTATCATCTGAAGGACGAAGCCTTTTTACATATAGTGTCCCCGTCACTATACTGGGGCATTAGGACCCTCACAGACCGCAGGGTGAGCGCCCTCTACTGGCCCCACTAACACCTCTTCCAGTAGTAACCTTAGTTTTTCCCAGGAAGTCTCTGTACTCTGCCAGGCTCACACCTGTTTAGCTTCAGTGGGTTGCCAGTTGTAAGTTGCAGGGTGATATGGCTGCTATAACCTGCCAAAGTTAGTACTTTTTTTTGTATGATAATTTCCTCCCTTTTGCTACAGTATAATAACCATATGTCTTAGTCATTAATGAGATTATTTTGAACAGCTCAGACATTTGGGCATTCAGTATTCTAGCTATGAAATATTTATTTCCCTTTGTGGCTGTAACAAAAATGCAAATAGCATGGAACGACATTTGAATGTCTCCAGAATTCGAAGATTTTGGGGGTAGACCTATTTCAATATGGTTCTGTTCAGCTGAAAGAAAAACACTTAATGGACATAAGCCAGAGGTTGTAATGAAAGTACATTCGTTCATAAACTAATTCAACTGGGTTTGTGCAAAGGTCAGTCTCAGTCCAGATCAACAGCTCTCAGTCCTTACTACAAGCTTTTCACACTCCATTCATTCTTATCACTTCTAAAGCTACAAACATCAAACTGGCTTAACTAATGCATTTCCATCACCTTATAGCAGCAATACAAGCATACATATACTGTATACAGCAAAAAAAAACTAAGCATATTGGAGAAGATCATTTTTGTATTGAAATCAATCAAGTTATGTCAACAGTCAGTCTATCCATGATCAGAAGCCTGCTTATCCTAGAGAATGTCCTGTAACAGTAATCCAGACCCTATCTCAGAAATATAAAGTGGGATTGAAATACCCAATATTATTGCAGGAATTGATAACGTGTAATGCATCAAGTTTTGTTCTTCAACATTACAAAATGATTTTTATTGATAAGGTTAAAAATCAATTGGTTGTGTCCTAGATCATTTAAAAGCATGTTCTACCAGACACAGCAAAGACTTCACTTAAATCCGTAAGATATATACAGTATTAGGCATGCTGACCATACATCCGTTCTGAAAACACTGCTTGCTAATTTCCTTCACCTCCTTTTGAAGTGGTTAAAATATCTTTAACAGCAATTTTAACAAGAGAGTGAATAGCATAGAATTAGTTTTGCAATGTATTCAGCTCCTTGTCATATTACATGTAAAAATAAATATCATACTAACACTGACTGAAGCCCATTTTATTATTTCTTATATGAAATATAAATGAACAGTTCTGAAAAAAAACTATCCGTGTGATTCATACTCTGAATAAGTGTCCTTAGACAAAATGCTCCTTGTGGCCAATAAATGTCACTTCTGCTAAAGAACACCTCGCATTTACAATTCTCTCTGGGAAAAATAAATCAATTTCTTCATCACTATCATCATAATACTGTAGGTATACCTGCTGTACAACATGAGACCCTTTCACATGCAGAGCTTTTTCAAAAAGAACTACAGAATGCAATTTTATAACTAAAAAATAGAGGTACTATAACAAGCCTGCATCCTGATCAGTAGGTAAGAAGGTTTTAATATCCTCATGGGGTTTATATAAGAACATTAACAGATGTTTTGTTACTCAAACAGACAGCAAAGATAAACAGAATAGGAACAGCACATACGAATATTGCTACAAAAGGACATAAACAGATAGCTTAGGCATCTTTCTTGGCACACAATTCAAACTGAAAGTTTGTGAAGTAGCCTTTTAAATAAATACCACAGTGGCAACAAGCAACACAACATTAAATATCTTAAAATACAGCAGTTTCCTAGCCACACTTACTTCATGGAATTCAAGATAGGGAACACACTGTTTCCAGGTCCACATCCCACCTACAAGAAAGAAATCTGTGATCGTTTCTAAAACAACTTAATGTAAGTCATCCCTCATAACTGTACACACTCCAGTGCCCTTATACACTGAACATTACAAGGTTGATCTTCACTTTTCCACCACATTTCAGACATCGTTAAGTGCATACCCATGTCTTTTTTTGCCTACTGAACCTAAAATGTTTGATATACCTCAAAGATCCTGAATGTTGCATGACGTCCTGGGAAGATGTCAGTCCTCCTTCCTTCCTCTTGTTCTACTGCCATTCTTTGACACAAGTGACGGTTCTCACCTCCCCCATGTGCTGTATGAGCACGGCCTAGCGCAGAAACCACTTCTCCCCGGCTGGCGCCGGACGAGTGCGATCCAGCAAGAGGAGCTGCTAAATCCTCAGCGCAGCTAGTCCTTGCCGACAGAATCTCCGGAAACTCCTGGAACAGCCAGTTCCTATCTTTGAAAAACTTGTTCTGATGGGTCTTATAAAATCCATCCCAGTATCCGGAAGCATCTTTGTCGTATTTTACTGGTTGAAGAAGAAATAAAAACACCTGAGAAATCTTAAAAGGCTTCAGGTAGATCCGTCTCACGCATATTAATAGTTCTTGGTTGTTTACCTACAATTATTATGCTCTTTGATCGGATTACTACTGCCAAAACAAAAAGAGTACCCATTGTATTGCTACACATAATAGTGTTCAATCTTGTTTTATGAGAAACAGCATCTCCTGTTTTCTTTTGTACGCATTAAAACATGGTATTAAGAAACTATGTTTTAACAACATGTTATAAAACAATGTTCATTAGGCGAATACTGTATGCTGAGAGTTTTGCGAATGATTCAAAAATAATCTTTGCTGGTCTGAGAGAAGCTGTCTGCTTACCCTGCTCCTCGACAGGAACTTGTACAATTGAATTTTCTTCAGCTTTCTTTCTTGCATGTTCTTTTTCTTCCTCTGACCACTGAACATGATCCCTGCAAAAATCAACCTGACCCTCTCAAGATATTTGTGGAAAAAATATATATTTTTGTATATTTTTAACAAGCAACATTAAGTCAAACAATACTGAGATATGCACTTTACTGTAGATGCTTTAAAAATCCATTCCATCTTCTTGGTAATGGTTTTCCCTAACTCATGCATTAGGTTAAATTACTACAATGTAAGTAGGTTTGAAAACCATTTATCATCCATCAACAAAGAAGTATGAGAAACAGAAAAACACTGCAGTACTTTTGGAAGCAAGAAGCATCTTCAATTTCCTTTTTACTCAGAATACAGTCTTCAATGGCCTCAAAGCTGAGGTCTCAAACTAAACAGCCTTGGAATCTTTCATTGAAACATTTACTCATGTTACTTCTGATTGAAAACAACACCAATCAGAACACAATTTCCTTGACCTGTGCAAATAACTATTAAAAACACTGTAACACAAATGATTAAGCTGACGCTGATACATTTCATGCTATCCAGCACAGTACAGTCCAATAGACCCATCAGCAACATTGTTACTGGCACAACAGTTTAGTTCATCACAGGATTTAATTCTAGCAAAAGTACAATTCACAAATACATATAAAACTATTTTGTTGTATCTGGTTTTGGAATGTTTTTCTCTGTGTGCAAGTTCCGTCTTCTGAGGATACTTGAATAATAACATTTTTAGGCAAAATCGATGGTGCCATACCACGTGTTATGTTGGAAGACATCATCAGGGTTGGTTAATATCCTTCCTCCAAGAGGAACAGGGGGTCTGCTAGTTATCCTCCTTCTGCAGTGTGTCCCTGTCTTCTTCCAGAGTGACAGGAACAGACCACACACGCCTCTCATACTCACTCCCTTCAGAAGGAAAAAACCCATCAGTGACAACTTCTCGACGCAGCTTGTTTCAGATTTATTATTTTCATCCATCCATTGATCTATCTTCTAAGTACTTTATCCCATTCAGGGTCACAGAGATGCCAAAGCCTATCCTGGCAAGCAATGGGCACGAGGCCATGCCGTCTCAGGGCACACACAGACACAAACACAAGTACACATAATCACACACACCATGGGCAATTTTCCCAGATGCCAGTTAACCTACCAGTATGTTTTTGGACTGTGGGAGGAAACCAGAGCCCCCTGGAGGAAACGCATGCAAACACAAGGAGAACCTGCAAACTCCACACAGACAGCACCCCCTGGAATTCTGCGCAAGCTGCTGGGCAGCAATGTTAATCACTTTCGCCTTCTTCAAACTAGTCACCTTTAATGCAGAACAGTGCAGATGCCAACAGCCAGCTGGGGTTTTCAGTTTTGGTTTAGTCAAACTTTACTTCTGAACCAGAAACTGTTAGATTTCTATGGCAAGGGAGTAAAATGGAAAAGTCACACAACAACCCTGTTTGTTTTCAGCACTTGGAGTTGGGGCTTTCGATTAGATCTCACCGTCCTGTCCTGCTGACTAAATATTGATTTATCCCTGAACGAATGTGTGTGTTCTGCCTTTTAACATGGACATATTAGCCCCTTACCAGTTACAAGTATTTGTAATGAGTTTCACAACCTATGACTGCCATCTATAATCCTAGATAGCCACTATTCCGTAGATCTGAGAAGCCAATTTAGATAGCTAAACCTAAAACCTTCCTGAGAACCTGTCCAGAGGTTAAACTGTCTTTGTCTCACAGAGAACCTCACATAGTAGGTGAGAGACTAAAGGCAACAAGCAGGAAGAGGAAGTTTGCTTGCTTGCTTGTTCAGATGCCAAAAGCAAACTGGCCACAGAATCACCTCCATTGCTTGAACATCTAACGCCATCTTTTAGAAATCTGTGAAAAACAACAGTCTTCTCACTGGCGTGATCGTCTAACCTCATGCAAGACATTCACAAGTGCAGGAGGTGTGGGCATCTCAGCCACCCAGGTTCAATGCCTGCTCCAGACTTCATGTCCACTGTTACATTATCCCATTTGAACAACTAAACGATAAAACCAAGTGGTTATCATCACATTTTTATTTCCATACACAAGAACACATTGCAAAGGAGGTTGGAATTTGGTGCTTTCTCATCATGCACGCTGCAAGGGAACTTAAAGAGGGCCATTCCGCCACAAAAAATGAAAAACAAAAGTAGCAAAGCAAAACCATTGTGGATCCACTTGAAGAAGGCTCTACTGCCAAACTATAATTTTATTTTTACTGTTACGCATGGAATTAACCTTTATGTGTTTGTCTCCAGTATACAGAAGCATGTAGCTGTAAGAATACATTTCCTTGTAACTGTAGAAAGAACTGTGTATGTAATTGGATATTAAACAGGTAAATAATTAAAAACAAGGGCAGCAAGGTCCTATGGAAGCTAGTACTTCTGCCTCACAGCTGTAGTGTGTGGGGTTCAATTCTGGGATGGGCGACCTTCCGTATGGAGCCTGTAAGTTCTCCCTGTGTTCATGAGGGCTTTTTTTAAAGTACAATAGATACCTCCCACTCCCCAAAGACATATTCAATTGCCTGTTCCATGAGGAACAGAACTGGGGGCCCTACATCATTAATCCTTCTCTGAAGTAGCTCTTTTACAAATTCTGACAGCAAAGTTCAAGTAAAGAAGAAGATAAAAAGGAAAAAGGAAAATGGCTGTGACTAATACAAGGCAAAAGTTTACCACAACTGCAGTAAACTGCTGTGAACTTCTTTTATTACTTGAAATGGAAAAGGCACAGAATCAAAAAATTCTGGGAATTGAATAAATCAATTTGTTAAATTACTGGTGTTATAGAATGTAAACAATCTCAAAATTATCTTTAATCATGCTTATTCAAATACCCTTAAAACCTGTTTTTTTCCAAAAAACTAGAATTTCTTTTCAAATTCAGTACTAAAATCAAACAAATAAACACTCAGTATACAGTAGATGTGTAAACTGCAGCTATGCTCCACATGATCTTAAAATCTTAGAAATTAGCAAAGAATGGTTCTACAGTGACACAGTAGTTAGCACTGCCTTGCAAATGCTGCCTTGCAGTGCTTGGGGCCCTGGGTTCAAATCCTGAGGCGTTTTCTACTTGGAATTTGTAGGTTCTCAGTGCATTTGTATAGGTTTCCTTCTGGGTGCTCTGGTTTCCTCCCACAGTCCAAAAGACATACTAGTACATCAACTGGCATCTGGGAAAATTGGTCCTGGAGTACCTGTCTGCCCTATGATGGACTCGCATTTTGCCTTGCCCCCATTGCTTGCTGGGATAGATACAGTACCAACTCCACTGTAACCCTGAACTGGATGAAGCAGTTTGAAAATGAATGGATGGTGCCAATGGTTTGTTCTCTGGCTAGACCTTTGCTGAATGCTTTACGATATTAGTTTATGTAAAACATTAAAATAACCATGTTTATGAAATCTAATCAAACATGTCAGTAGTTTGATACTCAGAATAATGACTTGTCCTTACTTTAACTGTACTGTACATAGAGCTGAAATTATGAACAACTGCCCTCTTAAAAAGCTACAGCGGGCCAAGCAGTGTGGGGCTATTAGAAATGCTTTAATAAAATTGCCTGGAATGCTAGCTGCCCAGATTTGATTCCTGGCCCAGATTATCTAACCATCATACAGAAAGTCAACATCTCAAGTTAAAAACAAGAAATAATAAGGCCAAAGTGTACCAGTTAATGCATGTTGTAATTTGTACAAACCATTATTTATCATGCATTGTGGTGTTCTGATTGGTCTGCATTGCATTAAAGTTTTTAGAGTTTCATTTTAATAATAATAATAATAATAATAATAATAATAATAATAATAATAATAA